CAATACAATTTTGAATGTGAGTCAACAAACACCATGACATGGCCTTTCACCCATGACACGTCTGGAAAGGATTAGCATGTAATTAATTAGATCACTGAAATAAACATATTAAGACATTTTTCACAAGGATTCACATATCTCCTTTGTAAATTAACTTGAATGTGATAGACCTCTTGTATCACCTGACAAGACTGTTTTCAAAGAAACGTGAAGATCCTCTAACTTACTAGTAACAGTACTTTTAAAGCACAAAGATGCCCTATTTCTCTAACCTACTAGTAACAGTACTTTAAAAACATGAAGATGCCCTATTTCTCTACCTACTAGTAACAGTACTTTAAAAACATGAAGATGCCCTATTTCTCTACCTACTAGTAACAGTACTTTAAAAACATGAAGATGCCCTATTTCTCTACCTACTAGTAACAGTATTTAAAAAGCACAAAGATGCCCTATTTCTCTAACCTACTAGTAACAGTACTTTAAAAACATGAAGATGCCCTATTTCTCTACCTACTAGTAACAGTATTTAAAAAATATGAAGATGTTTTATTTCTCTAACTTAATAGTAATACTTTAGAAAAACGAAGATGCCCTATTTCTTTAACCTAATAATGACAGTACTTTAAAAACATGAAGATGATCGATTTCTCTAATCGATTAAGATTAAGGTTAAGATGTTTTATACACAGTATACTGGTTTGGGATGTTGGAGAATAAAAGGATTTTTGTGGGGAAAAAAGTTTTACTCCCATTATTTTCATTAATCTCTGTTTAAAGATGTAATGGGTATCTTTCATTAACCTCTGTTTAAAGATGTAATGGGTAACTTTCATTAATCTCTGTTTAAAGATATAATGGGTACCTTTCATTAACCTCTGTTGAAATATGTAATGGGTAATGTTCATTAATCTCTGTTTAAAGATATAATGGGTAACTTTCATTAATCTCTGTTTAAAGATGTAATGGGTAACTTTCATTAATCTGTTTAAAGATGTAATGGGTAACTTTCATTAATCACTGTTTAAAGATGTAATGGGTAACTTTCATTAATCTCTGTTTAAAGATATAATGGGTATCTTTCATTAACCTCTGTTGAAATATGTAATGGGTAACTTTCATTAATCTCTGTTTAAAGATGTAATGGGTAACATTCATTAATCTCTGTTTAAAGATGTGATGGGTAACATTCATTAATCTCTGTTTAAAGATGTAATGGGTAACTTTCATTAATCACTGTTTAAAGATGTAATGGGTATCTTTCATTAACCTCTGTTGAAATATGTAATGGGTAACTTTCATTAATCTCTGTTTAAAGATGTGATGGGTAACATTCATTAATCTCTGTTTAAAGATGTAATGGGTAACTTTCATTAATCACTGTTTAAAGATGTAATGGGTATCTTTCATTAACCTCTGTTGAAATATGTAATGGGTAACTTTCATTAATCTCTGTTTAAAGATGTAATGGGTAACATTCATTAATCTCTGTTTAAAGATGTGATGGGTAACATTCATTAATCTCTGTTTAAAGATGTAATGGGTAACTTTCATTAATCACTGTTTAAAGATGTAATGGGTATCTTTCAGCATGGAAGAATGTGAAGCTCTTTGCACTAGACTGGCCATAATGGTTAATGGACAATTCCGATGTCTTGGAAGTATTCAGCATTTAAAAAACAAGTAAGTTATTATATTATAGGCATTTTGAAAGTGTTGTAGGAAATTTATCACATTTAATAATGATGCTGTAGTAGATTATTGAAGGCAAAAACTGTTGACTTCTAGTATGCTGAAACATCTGTATTTTCAACCTATGAGAAAGGTAAAGAATATTATCCATTTTATGTAAGGTAAAGGATATTATCCATTTTATGTAAGGTAAAGGATGTTATCCATTGTACGTATGGTAAAGGATATTATCCATTGTATGTAAGGTAAAGGATATTATCCATTGTACGTATGGTAAAGGATATTATCCATTGTACGTATGGTAAAGGATATTATCCATTGTACGTATGGTAAAGGATATTATCCATTTTATGTGAGGTAAAGGATATTATCCATTGTACGTATGGTAAAGGATATTATCCATTGTATAGATCCATGATAATCTATATTATTTTAAAAAAATACTGATTTGTAAAGCCATCTTTATCGTATTTTTTAATCTCTTGTCATGGAGTTTCATAAGTTTATATGAAAATTGCTGATAAACATTTTATTAAAGGTATGGAGAGGGCTATATGCTGTCTTTACGAGTTGGAGGAGGTTTAAATGGCATCCACCAGGTAGCTTGTTTTATGGAAAAAACTTTTGGAAACCAAGCAGTTCTAGGGGAACAACATTTGAATCAGATGGAATACCTGTTGGCATCTTCTCTGCCTTTAGCAACTGTATTCCACCAGCTGGAAAAAGCTAAAGAACTTTGTAACATAGAAGATTACTCTCTGGCACAAACAACTTTGGACCAGGTTAGTATCAGTCACGGATAAAGAGTAGTAGGATTTAATCTTTCATTTTATGTATGTCTTCTGCCATATCTCTTGTTTCAAAATCATCCAGTTATATGTATTCACTTTGTGCAGGTGTTCATTCGTTTTGCCAAGTTGCAGACTGATGTTTCAGAAGAAGAACTTCCTAAGCCAGTCATTCCTGCAGTCGCTCACACAGAACCAACTTCTGAAGACAAAGATAAAAAATGTATGTAACTTTAGCACTGCTTCATAACAAAAAAAAAATGTATAAATTAATACGAGTAAACATGTAAAATGTACAATTTCAGTAAATAACCTTTAAAAGTTATTATTGTTGTTATGGCAGACAAAACAATGAAGTACAGTTTAAAATATAATGCAACATTAGTTAATATAAAATACAGTATTACTTAATATAAAAGTACATTATTAGTTACTTTAAAAATTTAATGTTAATTGATATAAAAATACTGTATTAGGTAATATTAAAATACGGTATTAGATATTATAAAATTACAGTACTAGATAATATCAAAACAGTAGAAATACACATGTAATATTTCAATGATCATCTATGCAAGAAATGTTTAATTGATTTGTATATTGTAAGTGAGGAGAAATTAATCTCCTTTCCTGTTCTTTATATAGGTGAAACAACCACTCCACCTGGTGGCTCAGGAGTTGGAGATATTGAGCTTTGCATTTTAAATAATTCTTTGCCACATAGCGAATCTAACTTGGAGGCACAGGTTAATGTCTGAACCCTGTACAATCATCCTTTTATAAATTGTTTCTCTACAGGCTGCAGTGAGGATGTGGAAGATGTAGCAGCATTAAAGGTTGTTGGTTCCTGGCATCAACAATATCTAATGTTTGAAGTAGACATAAATTATTTATTGGAACTTCACTTTTGACTCCCCATTAAAACTTTTTTTCGATCTGTTTCAAAAAAATCTCAAGTAATCAACATTGTTATAAACTTAGCATCAAAAATGTTTTTGTTAAAATTCTTCTGTTCTTCTTTTCAATCTTGTATGCAAAAAATAAGATAGTTCCAAACATTACAAGTTAAAATTAAAAATAAATTTCCTAACCATTTGAATACTCAGTTCTTCAGCTCAGTACCTAATCACATCTGAATTCTTTGTTAATACTTACTAGATTGAGTATATTGTAAATATAGAAAATTGATGTTCTTCAATCTCCTGTTGTAATGTAAAATTTGTCTGCATTGAATTTCTTTTACACTGTGATAGTTCTTCATTAATTTGTTTGATGAATATCTTGTAGCATTCTACAATTAATAAATTTAAACAAATTATAATGTGTATACATCATGGAAGAGTTACTAAATTTAAGAATGATGAGCATCTTTATAATCATGCTCTCTTTTCACTCGTTTGATTAAATTAATATTAACAAAATAGATTACTGAAGAAATGGCATTTACCAAGTTCTTTGTTTAGTGTATACTTATATATATATATATATATATCTATTATAAAAATTAATGTTTTTAACTGAAGTTTCATTTCATTCTTATATGATTAATGGGTGAACTTATTTTTTATTAAAATGAAAGAAAATCTGAAATTATTGTTTCATCCAACTTTGTTGTAAGCTAAAACTTTGGTTACATATTTATTTAAGTTTTTGTACATTTAACAGTATTAATCATTGCCATAACTTGGACTAAAATATTTGTGTGGAACCTCTTAATAATTTTAATTGGAATTATTATATAATTTCAGTGACTTTAGGCCTGTTCAGACATGACATTTTGTCACATGCAGTAAACCTAAATAATGTTAACCAGTTTCTACTCTTTTTTTTTTCCTGTAAGTTCGGATAAACTCCTGTAAATGTTGCAATGTCAGTTGCTCAAAATCAAGCTTCCATGCTGTATTTTATCACACTTTAATCCACATTATCTCTCTTTGGGAAAAAGTAAAGCAGTGTAAATAGTTATTTTTCTTGCGTCTCTTTATTAAATTTAAGTGAGATATTTTTTTTATTTCTATTTGTTTTAACTAACTTATATTATTGTGATAATTTCCTTTATCTTTATGCTTGTTGACATTTTATGACATAAATCAAGAAATTTTACTGTTATGAAAAAATATTTTCAAAAATCTTAGTTTCTAGTCATTAAATTTGAGAACTGGAAAATTTTAAAGTGAACTATTAGAAGCCTGAAAGTGTAATATCCTTGTTTTAAATCTAAGACATTTGAATTTGATGAAAGTAACAGGTAGGCAAATCTTTTGCTTTTCATATAAAAAGCATTTTTAATACAACTTATACAGAGTCAAGCCAAACTACTGACTTAAGGGTTTGTTGTGTAATGTTTCCAATCAAGAGAAGAACAGCTAGGTTTGTCTAGTTTTGGTACAATACTAGAAAAACCAAAATATCTCCTGCTAGAAATTGTACGGTTCTCATAATAGTATCTGGTCTTCTGTTGGTCATTTTCTTTCCTTCTACTAATTATCAACAGAAACACAATACAAGTAAACTGAATGTGTAGCTATTACTTTGAACCATATATTGAGTTTGTAAAATACTTGTCTCTTACAGGAAATTCTGATAAGTAAATCAGATTTTTTAACAGAATTTCCTGTAAGAGACAAGTGAAAAAATGAAAAAATAATTATTTTAGCAATTGCTTTGAAGGTATTCTAGATTTTAAGTAAAATATTAGTATTTTAAAGTTTTTTTCATAACTCAAATGCATTACTAATGTTTTTTTCATAAAAGGAAGATGCTAGAGTTTATGGTAAACGTATATTAAAGTTAACAGTTTTCATTTGGTATGGAAAGTTATTTTGCAACAGAAAATGTTTTTATCTTTTTTGTTTCTCTGTAGAGAAAAGTGATAGCAACTTAGTTTTGTAGTACTGTGATTTTTTTTAGTGCATTGTATTGTTCATGATGTCTGTTGTCATCTTTCCCTGTGATGGGAATTAACAGAGATTTCTTTCAAATCCTGCACAAAAAAAGTAGAATATTTTGATAATTCAGGTCATGTTCAAAATTCCAAAGTTTTCTTTTAATGATATTTTTCAAAAGGTCTTTTTGTAATGCCAATAAAGGGAAAAATTTTTATTTGCTTATAAAGCATCACCAGTCTTTTGTTGGCCAAACAAATTGTAAATCTGATTAGTTAAAATGAGAGCTTTGATCTTTTATTGTACGGTATCACATTCTAGGTATGTTTAGTACAGTGGTTTGATTAACATTTCATTCTAATATTATATATAAACTAAGAGAGATTTTCTTAAAATGATTTTAAATTAATTCTTTATAAGATTAAATTGATCAAAAATTTTAATTTCTTTAAAATTTTCCAAGGGTATAACACTATCTTTGTACAGTTTTATATTCTGCCTGGCTGATTATTTATAAGTTGTCCTTTAGTTATATTATATTGTATTTGCATCTCAAACTAATTTTAATATTTATTTAGGTTTTTGTAATTTCTCTGTTTCATTGACTTACAAACTTTTTTAAGGTTATCAAATCCACAACTAGGACATCAACTAAAGAACACATGGCTTTAATGAGTTCTTGTAAGAATATTTGACGTAATAATGTCTTTGTTTTGAAGGATTTCCTTTCTCTTGTTTATTAGTTACTACTAGCATTTATTGATAATCAACCGTGTAGTCATAGGATCATTGAAAGCTGTTAAAAACTCCAGTTATTCAGAGGTATGGGTTCATGTTTTAATACCCAGCTGTTCCTAAAATCTTTGGAAATTATTAACTTATTACTGACAAAACATTTCAAGTTTTACGAAACAAGTAACGAACAACTTTTTTTGATAATTGTCTTTATCAGTTTTGTTTCCTAAGAGATGTTAGTTATAGGTTATACTTAGTAAAGCTTTTATCTAGTTTTCAGTTTTAGTGAGCTTTTAGATAAGATGACAATTAGAGCCTCCAGTCATTTTTCTTTTAAAACAACCAATCAAAGGTTTTTCTGAAAACCTGTGACATCGACTTTAGATGGTAGAACTTTCATTTCTTGATAATTGCTTATCTTTTATATTATTTTATTACTATTTTTTCTACTAGAATGATAGAAATTGTACAGAAATTTTCAAGCCAAACTTTGAAATGTGTGTGTTTAATTGTGTTCTTTGTCATTATTCATCCATTTTCTTTCCAGCTACTGTAAAACAAAATACAAAATTACCTTTTTGCGAGTATTACTTATCCATTTTCTCTCCAATTATTGTATAACTCGTGATAATTATACAAGAATTTTACTTTGATTACTTGTAGTCATAGTTTTGCAGTACATTGTACCCTACAAGTATTTTATGTGTTACAGTTTCTCTTACTGTCTGGCTGTTTTTTGTTGTTATTTTTTGGGGGGATGACCAATCTACTGTTCAGACCATACTGTTTGTTTGTTTTTTGGGGGTGACCAATCTGTTGTTTAGAGCATACTGTGCTCCTTACTGTCTCACTGTTTTGTAGTTTTTTAGGGGAATGATCTATCTACTGTTTAGAGAAATACTGTGCTCCTTACTGTTTCACTGTTTGTTGGTTTTGCGGAAAGTGACTCATCTACTATTCAGAGCATACTGTGCTCCTTATTGTCTCACTGTCTTGTTGTTTTTTTGGGGGGATGATCTATCAACTGTTTTGAGAAATACTGTGCTCCTTACTGTTTCACTGTTTGTTGTTGTTTTTTTTGGGGGGGAAGTGACTCACCTACTGTGCTCCTTACTGTCTCACTATTTTTTTTTGGGGGGGGCGGTCCCGTCTACTGTTCAGGGTATACTGTGCTCCAGTGCTGTTTGTGACATTTTCTATCAGTTCAGATAGAATTGATAAATTTTGATATTCTTCACCTCTATTTTAATGTAGATTGCAAGTCTGTCCTTTATTTAATTATCTAAACCATCACTGTATACACTTGGATATGTGAAATGCTGTATAAACAGAACTCCTTACTTTTCTTGAGTGTATGAAGATGGTTTGTTGAATTTTAATTTTAATAATTAGGCAGTGTACAGTATAATATTACATAACTCCTTTTAATGATTAGACAATGTACAGCACAATCTTATACAACTCCTGTATTTTTGTGTATTGGTTTATTCATGTGATATACAGTTTTTAGTAGTAGTTGATACTAGATTATTCTGTCGAAACACTCTCTGTACTTTAGATAGCATATTTCTGATTGAGTTATTGTTGCATGACATAACATAGAAATGATATATTTTCCGGCCATATATGAATACGACTTAAAATTATTTTGTACTAAAAATATTATCTGAAATATTTCTTCCAGTTAATAAAAAATTGTATATATGTATATCTAACCTAGTATTTAATTCTGCCAGAAGAGATAAGCAGTATCTCTTAACTAGACACTTTTAGAACATGGTATCAGAATCTATGGATACTCTTAGAAGGTGAAATTAGCAGGTTGATATATTTAAGAGATGATATTGGCATGTCTGGATATTTTTAGGAGATGATATTGACATTTTTGGATACCTTTAGAGAATGATATTGGTATGGTGTATACTTTTAAAAGTTGATATTAGCAGGTATGGATATTTCTATAATATGATATTGGTATGTATGGATACTTTCATAACATCATACTGGAACCTATAGAAAAGTATACTAATTGTCTCTTTGCTATGATGATTGTGGAAAGTGGTAAGTGTCACGCTTGTATGAACCCCTTGTTAAAGTTAACTTTTAAAATTCATGTTAAAATTTTTTTGAAGGTTTGAACTGCATGCATGTGTGTTTTTAAAATTCATTCCACTTTTTTTCATTATCTTTGCCACCAGAGAGAACAGATTACAGGCAGACTGTTATTGTAGAATTCATGAAAAAGATTTAGGAAGACTTTGGAATTGTTATGCTACATCACACATGAATCCTAATCAATTCTTTAAATGTAAAGTTTTTGTTCATGGTGAGTGTTGTGTCATGATGAGGAAAAGACTCAGCTGAAGATGTCAAGTTTTCAGTGGCATCATATTGTAAAAACCATACAGTACTATAATCAACATCATCAAGCCTTAAAAATGAAATTTTATTTACGGTTAAGTTTGATTTCTCCCACTTTTGATGACTAAAAGCTTGGCTGCAACCCCCCGGTTAGCTGGTTGATACTGACTTCTGTCTTTCTTTTTTCAGGCTAATTTTTGCTGCAACCCTTGGTACCCTTAATAGTCTCTTCTAGAAGTTTAAGAAAGCTTGTGTAGTTTACAGTTTAAAAAATCAGCTCAGCAAAAATAGAAATATTACCTACTTTGATTTCTCACAGTGTGTACAGAGCTCAGTAGTTCAATTATTAAACCCTGCAAGCATAGCCCTAGGAGTAGGGGTCACAACTCCTGGTGACCCCAAAATGATGCCATGTTTAAATGACAGAAATGCAATCCCCTAATTTTGGCAGGGAAATTAGTAAAATAACTACCACATCTACCAACTCACAGAATTTGCTTCACCAGTTTAGGTGTTATTCACCATAAGGTTTGAAAGTTAGTTTAACCTGCATTACTGTGGTAGGAAAGACTGTTTAGAAGAATCCCAGAACTGTAACTCTTTTGCTTTGAAAATATTTGATATACTGACTTGATATAATTTCTTAGAGTACATGTTATGAGTGTAATAATGCTAAAGATGACCATCAGAGTCAGTGGTAACATGTTGCTTTTTTTTCTTATTAGCCTCAAATGATATAATTTCTTAGAGTACATTTTATGAGTGTAATAATGCTAAAGATGACCATCAGAGTCAGTGGTAACATGTTGCTTTTTTTTCTTATTAGCCTCAAATGAAAGATACGTAGGTACTCACTTTTCAAGAGGACTCATTATGATGGTAGAACTTATATTAAAAGATTTAAGATTCACTATTTGTAAACTTGTATTAATTTTCTATGGCTTGTAATGTAGCAGGTTTAGATTCAAATCTCAGGTTGTGGATACTGTTCAATCTGCGTAGATTATAACATTAGAACTAAACATATACACCTAGTAATGAGCATAGCTAATTAAATATAACTTTCAAAGAATGCATCAGTTGTTTGCCCTCATTGTTAATGATATATTTGGCCATAAATCCAATAAGATCTCAGAAGATTTGGCCAGCCCAGGAAGATTAGGTTGTCTTAAATCCATATATCAAGTTTAACAATGCAGAATAATTAAATAATAAACATAAAATTATATTAGACATAATAAAAGTTTATGTATATATATTAAATATTCTAATTAACAGCATGTACGAGCACATATTACAACTCATTTGGCTTCATTGGTTAAAATGCTATCACACATCTCTTGGTTCCCTGACGTTATAGAAACTTATCTATGAAAAAAATTTGGATATTTTGTTCTCTGGGTGGAGTTTCTGTTAAAGTACATTGAGGGACTTTTTATACATATATATTTAAATGGATTGGTTTCCACCTAACTTACAAGTCAATGTAAGAAAATCTCCATGTTGTTACCAAGTTTACTTGGGTTCTATTCACAGTTACAACATATTTCAACTGTAGTTACTTAGTGAGTATAGAGGGTATGATTGAGGACGCATCATTTTTAGTTGTAGGCAAACACACATTTTCAAGCCTCCTTTAACAAAACAGGTCTTTGTTGTGGCTGTTATTTTTTTATTTTAAATATACATTAGCTGTGATGAATAAAGTATTCCTTAGAGGTGTAGAATATTATTGTTACACTAGAGGGAGCCAATGACTCTTTAACTTCTAAGCTAAAAGTCTGTACATACCATTCAGAAATGAATAAAATAGAAGAATTTTTAACAGAATCACACCTTATACTTCTTCCTGTGAAAAAGAAGTATGTAAAGTTATTGTACATACTATCTAGTAAGTGATAACCATCAAAGTATGGTTCTCACCATTAATGTTAGAAATAAGTTTTTTACTTTTTTGTCTATAAATGAAATATGAATCAAAAAGAGTAGTTGTTTTGTTGTTGAGGTTAGCATGTTAACTATGAAGTAGAGCTAATTGTGGTTTAAGTATTAGAGGTGACTAGCAGTGTGTTTAACTTCAAAAGAACTAGAGAATATTTAATCCCTCATCTAAAGAACAGTTAGCCTCTTTATGGGATTTATTGTTTTTGTGATCTTAGTATTTTCTAAATATTGTGAATGAGTCTGATCATACTCCTTTCCAACTGTCGTGAAAATAGGGCTATATCTGACCATACTGCTTTCCAACTGTTATGAAAATAGGGCTGTATCTGACCATACTGTTTTCCAACT